ATGAAAGCTTGTGTAAGATGTCACCTGAGTGAAGCCCCAAACGAGCCATTCCTATCACTCTGTCGCTGTCATGCTATCGCTGTCATGCCGAGAGACCTAAAACAAGTTCAATCGGGTGCCTTGTTCGAAGGTTTTCTTGGTAAAAGAGCTCTTATTGAAGGGCACCACCTAATAAGTAGAGTTTAAAGCCATACTTAAAGCCATTAGCTTCTCAGTCAGAGGCATGGTCGCAATCCATTGGAATGAAGCTGGAGCATCCGTCGGGGACATCGCCCTGTGATGTCATTAGCTCCATCCTTTCCAAGGTGGTTGTCATGGCCACTGGATCCACAGCAGACAACGAGCGAGATTTTGCTCACAACACTCGTCATTACCTCCGGAGTTCTCGAGGACTAACCTGTGATGTTTGGCGTGCAGCAGAGAGAAGGCTATCTGAATCATGCAGTGGAAAGTCGCAAGAGTATCTGCACCAGCTTGCAGTCGAAGCGCAAAGAATTTGGCTGGAGGGTTTCAACGGGCCTCGGCAATCTGGCCCTGAGAAGCGGATGAACTTTGTCAGCTTGCAGAAGAAGAAGGCTGTGAACAAGAAGTCTTTGAACTCTTGGCTGAAACGAAGACGCAAGGCAGTCAATGCCGCAGTTCGAGCTTCATCTTCAAGTTGCTTGGTGACAGGTGATGAGGCTGACTTGAAAAGGAAAGCCAAAAGGCGTGCTGGTGATGCATGGTCAGATGGCCATGATCGGAAGGAAGGTCATTTGCAAAGCCTGATCAAAAAGAGAAGATTTGAAGCGCAAAAGTCAGATCAGCTCCTTGAAGACGAGAAGATGGGTGAAGCAGCCTTTACTGCTTTGAACAAAAAGCAGTCAAATGATGATTGGAAAGCTTTCAGGAAGCATCAGCGTGTGACAGCAAGTTTCGAGAAGAAATTGAAATCCCTGGAGAATTTGCTCAATGGCCGTGCGGTTTGCCTTCGACGTTTACCTTCCCTTGATGAGGAGGCGTGCCTGAGCCGATTGAAGCTTGAACGAATTTAAATTCTTATTGTTTATTATTATTTCAGGATATCGATTGAAGAAACATGCTAACTGGTGCAAACTCAGGAGCGAGATGCCCGTGACTACAACTTCTGACTTCAAGGTGGCCGACACCTATGTGGTCCAGGATGTCACGAATCCAGGACAAAGGGTCACATGGCAAGCCATGTTTAAGCCATCCTTGGTTGTGTCACTTCAAGCTGTGCTCCGTGGCGGTGATGGACCCTGGATCAAGCACAATCCAAATTTCACCACTAGTCACTTTGTCTTTATCACTGAATCTTTCCAAAGAGAACATAGCCACCTAGCTGATTTGGTCCGCTCGACTCTGAGAAGAAGGAGGCCTGGAGATTTGGTGATGAGATGGTGCCTTGAAAATGATTTGGGATCTTGGCAGGGCAAATTGGCTTCAAGAACAGGCCAAAGATTCCCAAAGCACTGCCTTGCACTAGTCACTGAGTCGGAAAAACGCAGCCGCCAATGGAAACATATTCCAGGAGCGATGACATCGAGATCCTTCGCAACTTGGCGCTACCCCAAATCTATCGAGCATTCATATCTTGCGCAGGCGCAGCTTTAGACATGCGTTTGTGCATTCTAGACAAGCGTGGTTGTCACCATGTCTTTGTCAGACCTGGTTGAGAAATGTCCCAGGCGATGCAGCAGTTTGGAAGTCAAGAGTTGGGAGTCAAAAGCAGCTAGACTGAAGCAGCATTAGTCTTTTAAGCTTGCAATCATTGTCCTTGACGATCCCTGATCCCTTTCAA